CACAAGCTTCAGACCACTGTATATTGCAAACCAACTCACACGGACCAGTACCTTCACTTCGCCTCCAACTATCCACCCAAAATCAAGGAAGGACTATTTTCAGCACTAGCAAGGCGGGTTCACGACATCTGTTCCAATAAGCAACACCATACAACTGAACTAAATCACCTTCAACAAATCTTCACTACGTACAACCACTACCCAGACCAACAGCACGAAGAAAATACAGGAGTTGACCCCAACTATATGCACCCTTTATCATCAGCATCTCCTACTATGGAACCATGAGTAAAAGACTCCAGAGATTATCAAAGACAGACCAACATAGATGTAGCCGTAACACCATCAAAAACACCATTAAAGCCACAGGAAAAACACCATCCACCCCAAAACAAGAACGTCTTGGAACAGTAAACCACTATACCATTGTGGTCACACTTATATTGGTGAAACATCCTGACCCCTAAAACCAGAATGAAAGAACATCTCATCTCAGTGTTTAAACTGGACCAAAATCAACCTCGTCTGACCGTATCCGTGACAACTCATAGCATCCAGTGGGACAAAATCAAAGCCCTCACTAACAACCACAAAGACTTCAAAATCAGTCAAAGAAGACATCCACTTCAAAAGACTTCAACCATCCATCAACCGTAACCAGAGCTATTACATTATCCCAGCTTAGCAATCTGAAAGATTCCAATCAGACATACAAAACACGACTGGCCTCATTTGTAAGGACTGGATTTACGTTAGATGTTCTGCAGTGTGTTCGTATCATGCTTCTCTGCTCTACTGTAAAAAACACTACGACATATCTGCTGATATGCCTCCCATCACTACTTTGTACATAACGGTGTTAGATCTACACCGAAACATCGCTCCGCACTGTAAATAAAGACGTTGTTCGTCCATATATGGTATTCTTACTCAACGGCGACTACACTATTCAAAATTTGCTGAAGATCACTACCAAAGACAACATTGCTTAATCACCGGTTTGATGAATGACGATCCCTACAAAACAAACAATATGTGACCAATAAATACTTATACCTTAAGAATACTGAAACGTCAAACGCGTGAAGATCCGGGTTAGAATTGATCTTCAGTTACCCATGCTTGTCGTAAAAGGCGACTAACAGGATCCGGTGGTTACACTCGCTGACTTGGCTGATACATGCCATCCCATTTACGTAGATCGATGATCATGCTGTTGATCACGGATTGTCTGTTCCAAACTCCATTATTTACAGACCGCCGCCATATTGCTGGAATATTGCGGCGTGAAACAACAATCCAGCCAACCAACCTTGTTCCTTGCCATATTCCAGCGACAGAAAAACCCATGCTTGTCGTAAGAGGCGACTAACGGGATCGGATGGTCAGGCTAGCTGACTTGGTTGACACATGTCATCGGTTCCCAATTGCGTAGATCGATGCTCTTGCTGTTGGTCGCTGGATTGTCTTGTCCAGACTCAATTACGTACAGACCGCCGGCATATAAGTGGGATATTGCTGAGTGCGGCGTAAAACTAAACTCACTCACTCACTCTAGCTACCTCTATACCAACAGTCCTAGCTAACAGTTCCTTCCTACCTCATCTCCATATCCTATGTAATTTGTCTCTATCCAGTTAACAAACTATACACAAAGAACTTAGTTAAGCACCCCCTGACATATCTCAAGATTGATCGAGCCCCGATCTGAACACAGGTCCTCGTGTCTTTGCGAAGATTAAAATTTTTATTTTAAAATTGAGACTCGAAATGCTACACAGTCATAATGTATTGTACTGTGTAGCATTTCGAGTCGGGGGTCATCTCAAATGTTTTTAACATCTTTAATCCTCGCAAAGACACAAGGGCCTGTGGATCTGAACCCTTTGGAGCATATCTAGGACATGATTGGTCGTCGTGTGCAACAAAGGGATCCTCCAGTACAGAACCAGGCCCAATTGGAAGCTGCTTTACATGAGGAATGGCGTAGAATGCCCCTTCGGAGGATCAGGAGGCTGACAGGGGGTATGAGGAGAGTGCTGTTTGTCATACAGTCACTTGGAGGTTACACTCGGAATTGACCTTGAATCGAGTAAGACACGCAAAATGACATTTTGAATGTCCACATTCACCAATAAATTCAATATTAAACATTCCAGGGCCATAGTTGTACACACATGGTTTTGTATGAAAATCAGTGGGTTTTGTTTTACCATCATTAATTCCAATCTTTTTGTCGTTTTTTTTATGAGTCAAAAGATCATGGACTCATGTTTTCCATCGCGGTCACCACCAGAAGTTTTATTTTTTTGTACGTGTTGAAAACCTACCATTGCAAAACTACAGGGGGTGCTTAATTAAGTTCTTTGTGTTTATTTCTCTTCACACATACCTAACTCTGTCTGAATTGGTACCAACCTCTCCACCCACAGTCCTAGTCACCTAGTCTGTTCCCACTTTAATCTTCATCTATAACCATTTGCCTTTATATCTCTACCCACATTGACTGTACCAACACTCCCAGTTACATGTACACCCAAATCCCTACCCACACATACATAATGACGTTCATTCTTCGGTATAGGATTTCTCCTTCTGCCCCTAAACCAAACATTTCAACTGTCATCAATAGATCCATCGATCTTGATGACTTTGACGTGTGTTCGGAGGACCAGAAAATGTGCTCATCAAATTTTCACTATCGAACTTTCTTAAAAGGCGGAACCCTTGTAAATAATCAATAGCTGACAACCATGTAATGTGAACTAAAGTAAAGTATCAGTTCTTGACAAGAACTATAAATGCCACAGACATGTTTCATTAATGGAAATGTACAATACATACAGACAGGCATTCACCATATTCGATGACCTTGGAAAAGTGAGTTTTATTATTCATGCTTCCCAATTCATGTTCCATCCAAATGGAACCAAGAACTTTTTTCTTCCTAGTTTGTTTTTCAGTTTGGTTTGTTTATTGTTAAACTACTGTCTACTTAGCCATATGATAGCAGTCAGTAAATAATACACAGTAGGAAAACGGTCCAGTTATTGAGATCATGAGCATCAATCTGCACAACTGGACACAATGACTATCAACTAAGTCACCAAACTTAAGGACCTACTTCATTATGTCATCGCTTATGACTTACAAAGGTTTTGTTTGTTGTTTAACACCGGACTCCACAACATTTCAGGTATATGACGGCTGTCTGTAAATAAGATCCTTGACTAGAAATCCGTGACTGAAATAATGAGGTGTTTGGTGACATTTTATCTGGGATGCCTGTGGGTTTTAGATTCCAAGCAGATGACAGAGTAGTCAAATAACTATTGCAATTTCCATGTATGAGGATGTTAGTTTGAAAACAAAAGCAAAGACATAGAATGTTAGACATAAAATAAGGATTCACATGAAAAGATAAATTGTGTTATACTGTTATACATGTATATGGAAATACATAATCAGTGGCCCTGAATTATCCTATATGTGTAAACTAAATTTCAAACACAAGAAGAAGACAAAATCATCAATATCCCCCCGCAATGGTAAAATACTCTTCATGAATATGTCAGCTAGTTATGACTATGTCAAATGTTACATTGTTCTTCACATTGATCTAACTAAAACATATACATCAACAACAGACTGCCCGAGTGCTTGTAGTTTCATGTACCTCAGCAATGCTGATACTGGAAACAGAGTGGTACTGTTGATTTATGTCATTAGGTTCTTGAATACCCACTGAATGGAAGGAGAGTATTAAATGGTCTTAAAGTTCTGCTCCGGGAAAGAGCACCAACACCATGAGAACACAAAAAATATTTTATTCAGAAATTCGAAACAGTTCACAGTTCACCACCAGACCTCTATGTGCCAAGTTTGGTGAAGAAATATTGAACGTTTTTAAAATTCTGCTCCGGAAAAGACAAATTTGCAGGGATGGATGGAGTCCAAAATAATACCCCCACAAAATGCAATGCGGGGGTAAAAAATATCATGGGGTGGTAAAATTGTCTATCAGAGGTTATTGCAGTTACCTAGTGATGTTCATGTAGGTGTATTTGTGAAGCTGGTTGTACTATCCAGACTTGTGCAAATTTTACAGTGACAGCCCATTCAGACACCATGTCACTGAGTACCTTAACTGAATACATTCTGTTAATGCCGAGTACTACACACAGTACCCACAAGTACCATCTTTTAACATCTTTTAGTGTGACAGAGACACCCACAGCTATCAAACCTTCCACATTTCGCTCTCAGTACAGATGCTCTTCCCTGATGCCGAAACCTTGAATACATGGAAACAGTATATCAGAGGCCCAGATAAGCTGCGTATCCGGGTAAAATACGCATATAAAATTTCCAATTACACATTGAGAAATAATTGTTGCGTACCATTTACGCATTTAAAATGTTAGATACGCAAAAAGTTTAAAACAAATGCGTACAGAATATATTTATAAAAATCGCTTGCGTAATGAAAAAGACATCGATTGCTATCAAGTTGTACTGTTAGTATAGGACAAGTGCTGTACTGTCCATTTAGGATGAGGGATTTTTTATGAACGCATTTCCATTACATTTAAGTAGGTTTTGATTAGGTATGACATAGTCATAAGGCAGAACATACCTGCTTAGTAAACTTACTCAGTCACATAATACTTAGGTGAGTAAAATGACTGAAATACGCACACGTTTGAAAGCAGTGGGTAACGGAAAATGAAATACCCACTCAACATTCATAATACCCACTCCAAAAAAATACACATGAGCTAAATCTTATCTGGAGCTCTGAGTATATGTTTCAAAGTCTGTAGTTATACAACGATGTTTCCAGCATATTTTCAATGTTGAATACAGGCAAAATTTATGAATTGCTGTTCTGCCTGCCATTTTTAAATGGTGACAAATCTCAAAGGTGTAACAGGTTTTCAACATTTGCCCAACACTCTCTGTTACACAAAACATTGCACATAAACAACAACAAACTGAAAAATGACTTATGTATTTTACTTGTCTCTTCAAACTTCAAGTACAACTATTGTGTAAATATAACAGAGCACAGATTCACGCTACCCAAGCTTTCAATGGGATCATGGTTGTCTCCCTGGCTGCCACAACTCAGTATAAGCAGTCAGTCAACATGGCAGAGATACCAGAGTTCATTTACAAATAATGTCAGTCCAGCAACAGTTGCCTCACTTAATGACCACCATGGTCATCCTTTTTGAAAATAAACTTCTGAGCCAGTAACGTGACAACAACAGCTGGAAACGCCCACTTGAATCCCCTTCCAACACTTTTCAAAGCCGCCCGTCCTACTCCTGGGAAGTTGTCTGGGTGGTAACGCCATACTTCATTTCTGCAAAAAGGATAACATGGGATACTAAAACATATTTACAGCATAAAGGTGAAAAGAAAATAGCAGGGAAAATCATTTATCATATCTACATATAGTACTTGCATATGGGGCCTGACTGACTTTTGTTGCCAGCTTGATTGTACAAGTGAACTGGTTATACTACTTCGATGAAACCCACAAGCATTGGTATGGTGTTGAGAGCTGCCAACTTAAAACTCAGAACACTCAGGCCAGTGAGTTCATATCATGAGCCAAGTGAGTGAGTGAGCTTAGTTTTTATGTCGCTTTTAGCAATATTCCAGCAACACCAGAAATGGGCTTCAAACATTGTACACATGTGGAGAATCAAACCCGGGTTTTCGGTGTAACGAGCGAATGCTTGAACCACAAGGCTACCCCTCAGTCATGATGACTGCCCATCACAGAGCAATTATCGCACTACAGCGCTTGTGCCTTGCTATATCGCTGCTTGTCTGCAGTGCTCTCCAGTGGCACTTCTTTAGCAAAACACCCTTTCTGATCCTTAGGGAGCTGAGACATCTTTAGAAGCAGACAACCCTTTACAATACTTAAGCGCTAAGGTTTAAGGTCAAGGTTTCTGGTTAGGGTATGGTATCCATTCCGATCCTTAGGGAGATGACTCATGTTTAGAGTCAAACAACCCTTTACGATCCATAGGGTTAGGGCTTAGGGTTAGGGTATGGTACCCTTTCCGGTCCTCTGTTTTAGGTACTTTTTCCTATCCTTAGTGTTAGGAGTTAGGGTAGGTACCCTTTCCAATCCTTATGGTTAGGGTCTGGTACCTTTTCTGCTAATTAATCTGAAAAAGTGCAACCGGTAAAGAGCTGTACTCCCGAATTTGCTTTTTTAGCTGAATGTATAAAAATTAAACATTCAACATCTCCAGATGTTGTACATCCAGCTTAAATGACAGGACTGATCCCCTGGACAAGTCTTTCAATATTCATGAAGATAAAAACAACTGAAAATACAAACGACAAAAATAAAAAATAAACACAAGCAGAGATTACATGACAAAACAAAAAGGAAACAAGACTTTAAGCATTCAGAGTTAAGCTACTGAAAATTCATATCCTCCGTCCGTTAAACTGTAGTCGCATTTATCAGATCGGTATGCTTGTTTTGTCAATAAAGGTATCAACCTGCAAATAGCCCAATTTGAAAGGATATCTATAAATTTAATAATCGACATTGACAAGTTGATGACATCGGGAGTACCTTGTGTTGTGACAGCCCATAAGCAACACATAAAAGATAAAAACCGTAGAACAAAATCTTTAAGTTTACGTAAACCAACATAATGCACACTAGGGTATGACACTCCGGTTGATTTTATGTTTCTCACCGTATCCATGGATCTTTCAAGCCCCTTGCAGCCAGTAAACTCTGCAGTTGTTCAAGTTCCTTTATCCCTTCTACTTTATACTGTCTCCAGTCAGGTACTTGGATTTTCCCACCGCCTCCCATACCGAAATTTGACTGGGTTCAGCTGCTCTCGCTTGGTCACCTTTCGTTCACCTTGCCGCCGGAAGTGGACGACGCAGCGCTTGGTTCGTTGTAAAACAACGAACACTAAATATACGGAAAATGATTTACCCTACAGCATATCTTATATTATGAGTCAACAAACGGGCGAAAGGCTTGATGATTGGTGAAAAGAAGGAAAGGTGATAGTACCATTTATTTTCTTGCTTTCACAAGCTTTCCAGCGGCCTTTAAATATAATATAAAGTAAGAGCGTAAGAAGACGAGAATAGAGCTCACACAAGAAACAAATATAATAACGGTGAGCAAATGTGTTAAAACATCTTGTGTATGTTAAGTTTATTTCACACATTATCCCAAATTGATTTGGATGTAATATAATCGAGTTAACTGCTTGCTAATGTGTACAATTTTGCAGGACACCCAGTGGTTGATAGGTCGGTCAATCTCGGCTTAGATCATGATTTTTGAAGTTCTATATGAACTTTTCCCAAAATAAGAATGAGTGAGTGAGTTTAAGGATGTGTTGATTTTTTATGCCAGAACAAATCTAAATTAAGCTTAAACCTTTAAAGAAGGCTTTGCATGTCTGTGACCTGAATTGTATTAGTATCTCTTTCCATACGATAAAACGAACGCATGCACTTGGTCCCTGAGAGGCTGTAAAATAGCGACGACCGACAATATCGGCTTAGATCATAACAGTTCTATGACTCACTCACTCACTCTTACTTTGTGAAAAGTTCATATAGAACTGTCATGATCTAAGCCGATATTGACCATACTTTGGGAAAAGTTCATATAGAACTGTCATGATCTAAGCCGATATTGACCTAGGCCAGTTCCATCTCATGCTGATCCAGTATTTCTTCACTGTGGCCAGACCTAGTTACTACATGTATTGATAGAGGAAAGGGTTTTTCATGGCCAAGTCTCGCCGCTTCCAGATTTATTCAGGCAAAATACATGAAATAATGCTACGACAGACATGTCAATAAGACGTGATGCACACAAAGACGGGTAAGTGTTGGATGGAAGCTTATGTATATTTAGGATCTTCATGTTTCGGAGTATATTTTGATGTCGTGTTCCTATAAATACAGAAAATATCATCCATATATTCAAATCCCCCCATTCAAACACAGGATGACTTTGCTCAATATATAATTTAATCCTCTGGTTGGGTAACAGAATAACAAAATTATCAACAAATCAAATGCAAATTAGCAACACCAGTCTTTACAGAAGTTCCTCCTTGCTTCAGATTGTATTTATCAAAATAGATGTAAAAAGATGCATTTGTTGGGATAAACATCCTTCAAATATCTGTCAATTGCACTCAAATATAATTGAACACTAATACCTAAGTGAAATATTTGCTGACTAAAATACACATGCTATTGATTGTTCACCATGTATGTTATATATCAAGTACATAATTGGCTAGTTATGTCATCTGGCATAATATTATCCATTATGTAATCCATACACTGTGAGTCTCCAGGGGTTCCAGGTATGGCCTTCAACTAGCTGAACCGTTCCCTCTTTTAATAATATATGCATGACATTATTAATGAGAAGATTTAACCTAGGTAATATGAAGATCTTGCTTTGCCTCAACCTTCTCTACTTTCTATAATTTAGTTTTATGTCGATCTGTTGATATTTCACTTCACAGTGGCTTTGCTAAACTGTTTTCAAATTTCATTCACAGGTATGATATTAATATCTTGTCTTTCATGATTTGATAGTACATTCTACTCAGAATGTGTGTGTAGAAATATTTTTCACTGAGGTATTGGAAATCGCTGGCAAGAAAACAATGTTATCAAGTTTATTCATCCAATGATTCAGGTTACATTCCCACCCTAGTGAGATAGTGAGTTAGTATGGTTTTACGGGACATTTAGCAATATCACGGCAGGGGGACACAAGAAATGGGCTTCACACATTGTACCCATGTGGGGAATCGAACCTGAGTCTTTGGCGTGACACTTTAACGAGCGGATACTTTAACAACTAGGCTACCCCAACGCCCCCATCCCACCCAAAATACACCTGGAGTTATACAACTGTAATCTTCAGATTGATGGGGTCTTAGATAATTGGTTCAGCTGTAACCACGGTAACAAGACAAGACATCTGCGTATTACTCATGTTTTTAGGAACTGACCACAGGGGCTCAGCGACCTGTCCGCACAATAATATACATTATACCAACAGGGTGTCTACAACAATCATTTTCCATTTAATTCCCGTATTTAGCTAAACCCACAGTAAAAAAAGAAGTCCTTCCTAAATGAGTGTTGTTTTTGGCAACCCCCCTACTTGTTCATTATATTTTATGAGTTTCTTTGACATTGATGAATTTGTTAATAACTGCCATTTCCTTATGTACCTGCAAAAAGTAGCAAACCTTCCATACACCTAATTAAACACATTGTGCACTGGAATGTAATGTTTGGATGTATTGACAGTGTTTAGATGCAAGTCACATGTAACCGATTCATGCATTTCACCCTTCAATCAACAGACTAGCTCAAATATCAGGTGGAACCTTTGGACCATCCTTCAAAAATCTTAATAAAGAAAAGATTAAAAGTGTGTTTTCAACAGATGTTTAGCTCAGTCCTTTAGCTTACCTAAAACTAACTTACCTTAGCTAACTGAGTATATTTTTCTGTAAGCTCAATATTGTCCATTCAATTTGGAATATAAATTTGTTAGTAAATACAGTCACATATAAGTGAGCGAGAGATTATCCTTTTTCTCTGCATTTTATTTCAGACAAGGTTTGCCAACCATAAAATCAGGAATATGCCCTGTCTTGGCTCAATTACAAGGCAAAACCAGAGACAATATAATAAATTTATTATATGGTCTCTACCGAACAGCATCAGCACAGATTAATGTTAAGATATCATGTTTGGTACAGATGCATTTTAAACTCACTCACCCTTCAGTGAGTCAGGTGTTTGTAAGTTCTTGCATCTTCACTGCCATTTCCAGTGAGAACCTAAATGCATTTCTGGCCACATGAACAAATGCAGTGCTATTCTTGAACAGAATCAAATGCCCAAGTATATGCAAATCCATCCCTGAATTTCAGCCAATCACATGTACGTCTAGATGATTATACAGGTGTTAGCAGATGTGAATGCTCGCATGTAGATACCAATCTTATTGTATGAATGACTACGTCTATTCTTAATGACCAGTAACAACAGGGATGTTTTCTTGAATTCAGCACTGAATAAATCTTTTTTACTGATGCGTTAAATGTGTACACCTGTGAATATCCGGGTTAGAATTGGTCTTCAGTAACCCATGCTTATCGTTTGCAACTAATGGGATCGGATGATCAGTCTAGCTGACTTGGTTGACAGATGTCATCGTATTCCAATTGTGTAGAATGATGCTCATGATGTCGATCACTGGATTGTCTGGTCCAGACTTCACACTAGCATTGCCTCTGATACAACAGAATTACTTTACTTTTGTACACTAAGGGCTGTGTATTTGTAAATAAATTGTATTGCAATATATTGTGAATCTGGTACCCATATTCGATACGTATTGGATATATTGGGAGCCTCAGTGTTAGACAGTGAGTGACATTGATTGTACATACAAAGCCTATTTTCTACATATTTTAAAAGCCTTAAACTACATGTGATGGTTGTGATTACAGAAATCTCTAATTTAGAATTGATTTTAAGTTGTAAGTTCTTTATTATAAAATTTAAAGTAAAGTATGCTGTATTTAATGGAAAACTTCAGTTTAAATGAAAGTCTGTGTAGATTGTAACTTAAACCATAGAGATAATCACAAAACTTCATACATTCATATTGCCCAATCTACCGGCTCTGAGCAAAAAAGCATTGCAATACATTCATTCCTGCTAAAGTGCAGCGGTACTGACAAAACAACACAAACAAACATACATATATTTATTTCCAAGTATGTATAATGTTATTGTATTATTCATAGCACACGCACACTGCATTCAGCACTGTCTACAGAATGTTTATCAACCTCAAGTCTACAGGCCCAAGACTGTATCTATCACTTACACTGAGGTTGTCAATACATACAAACAGATCTTGAATATATGATCTATATCACCAGTATTCCTACTAACAATTTTTTCTGCATTATTACAAAACAAGGAATAGAACGGGACATGTAATCATCTAAGAAAATGACTTGATTTTGTGATAGAACACATTCTTCATGAGGACAAGCTCTTCTAATATGAATCTACATCATGATGGCAATATGATCAAATATTTTCAAAAATGTTCCTGGTGTCCCTTGAATCCTGAAGAATTCTGGGTAACACAAAAAGTTGACATCAGCGTCCGTTTCTGGTCATACACAGTCTCTGTCTGTCACAACATTTACTGAGGCAGAGCCAGGAGTGTCTGCTGCCCTTTGGGGAGGTAGATGACGTTCCTAGTCCGGGACAGCTGGTAGGCGATGTCTTCTGCAGCTTCTATCTTCCTCAGTTCCACCAGACCCTCTCCCGCCTCACCAAATGCCTTGGCCAGGAGATTAGCAGCACTGGAATCGCCCTCGGCAGAAATGATGGCAGCTTTTTTCTGTTGCTCAGCCTGGGAAAGCAGAAAGGGCATAAATGAGCAAGTGTTAGGGCTGTAACGATGCATCCAACTATCAATGGATTGTAATTGTTGACTTTCCGATAGAAATTAATCGATGATAGAAACGAAAAACTATTGATGCATCGATAGTGACTATTGATAGTTTAGTAATTGACTTCCCGTGATAAATGCGCAGCGCAAATACAGGATGTTTGGGTGCAGACTTGCAGCTTCATTGAGTTTGTTTTAACTGTTTACTTCATCTGGATTTCAAGTTTCTTGTCATTAAATGAGACTGAAACTACTTCAACTTGTTTTTATTTCATATAAACTATAAATTCGTTTTGGGAAATGACTTCAAATGAGACAATTCAAGGAGAGAAAAACTATTGCATTAGTATTGCAATTGTTGGTCGCAATAGACTATCGCTATCGCAATAGTTGTTTCCCCCTCAATAGTCACCCGAGCAAGTGTGTATTTGTTTGATGCAGCAATAAGCAATGTTCCAGCTATATCCCAGCAGCTTATAAAGATTGAGTTTTTGACCAGTGGTTGACAACATCAGCAAAGATCTTTCCACACCACCAAAATTAACCACTAAATCACAGGTTTGAAAAATATCTGAAACATACTAAGAATAACTGATAAAACTTGCCACAATAATCTACTGGAGATGTCAAATGACAAGGTAGGTCTTCCAGACCCAAAGTATTGGGCAAAGACTAACTCATTTCATGATGGCAAACACAACCACTTTGTCACAAACTGTCATCCTACCATGCTGATGAGTCAGCTCTTCTAACAAGCAATGAGTATTCTGACCATTTATGCCCCTGGATCCACACTTGGCGTGACTGCTCTACCGTGAAAGAGTGAGTATGGTTTTATGCTGCTTTTAGCAATATCATATCAAGGGACACCATAAATGGGCATCACAAACTGTATCTATGTGGGGAATACTGACTGACTGAGTTTGGTTTTACGCCGCTTTTAGCAATATTCCAGCAATATCATGGCGGGGGACACCAGAAATGGGCTTCACTCATTGTACCCATGTGGGGACAATCCGGTCTTGATGAAACGCTTTAACCAAACTAGACTACCCCACCGCCCCATGTGGGGAATAGAACCGGGGTCTTCAGCATGATGAGCGGCTACTCCACCACCACTGCTCAACTGTGACCTACCTTCTCTACAATATATCTAGCCCTCTCAGCATCCTGCTGGGCAACCTGCTTCATCTCAACAGCTTCTGTGAACTCTTTGCCAAATGTTAAATGTGTCTAGAAGGAAACAGAAAAGACATGGTTCACTTTCATGTGAAACGTGGGGTCAATGTTCACACATGAATTGTGTGTACTGGTATGTGTATGTAAAAGGCACGCGTCCGGTAATTCTGCGCAGCTTCAATAGCGTACTTCCGTGTCGAGGGTAAAATCGTCTGCTACCACATTTACGCTTGAAATCGGGACATTTCTACAAGGGACTGGCTTTTAATCACTAAAGGTAAGTAAATAAAAGTAATTGACAGATAAATTGACAGTTTTATGAAAATTCGTTTTCTTCAGACTTTTAAACCTTTTTCTTCATCATTCATAATTGGATTTAATATGAAACACTCTTCCTTACATTGATGAAATGATTTTTGAAAATAATCTGGCCCTAATATGCTTCCATACTTCGGATCTCCAGCTGGATGTTATGCACATCAGTTACTGCGAAGAATTACCGGACAGCAAGCGATGTTGTCAGAACGCCAGTAAGGTCAACCGTATGGCATAAAGCAACGTTAGAATCTTATAGTCGTCAATAAAACTTATATTTCTAGGTAAATATGATGCATACCAGCATGTTTAGTCAGGTAAACTACAAAAAATAAGAGACGTTAGTTGCCGTGTCGCGACCGATGTGCTTAGGTGCGCGGAATTACCGGACGGCATTGTACTTTAAAAATCGTATTGCGGTAATCCAGTAATATCATGCAGCCCTAGTTATTCGTTACCAAGGAGATGTCATCAAGTATCATCCCAAACTGAAGTGCTCGATCCGTGAGTTCCTCGCTGACTCTCTGTGATACCAGCTCTCTCTGTGTGATCATCTCACTGGCATCAAATTGGGCCTGAAAAGGACATATAGAGTTATAACCCCATTCTATATCTCACAAGCTGACATTATAGAATCACCATATTCTCTATCAAGCAGCTCTGAGGTTGACTTACTTCTTGCACATGAGCATATGAAAAAACATTTAACAGAAACTCTGTATAATAGACACTGGTGGCTCCAAATAATATTAAGGAAAAAAAATAAGAATGGTCACTTGTTACAGAAAATATAGGGAACAAATAACCCAAATATGGATACAGTGACCAAAAACGTTACTGTGTCTCATAAAAAACCCTCACTCCTGCCTCATTACTGTCACTAAAAAGTTTGAATATTAGATGGTAGGTCCCTTAAAAGTGATTCCATTGGTACAGGTTAACTTATTTATCACAGAATATATGTAATCCTTGCTTTATCAAGAAATGACACGAGTGTGTATTTCTCATAAATACTCACTACAACAGCTTTCAACACTTCATTAGTGATGGAAGGGAGGACTCTCTCATCATAATCAACACCGATGTTAGAGAACAGCTTTGGCAGCTGATCTACCTTGGGGCGGAACAGGATTCTCAAAGTGATGTTGACATTCTGCAAGTCTGTAACCATAGAAAGGACATAAGTGAGCAAAGGTGAAAAATTCAAAGTGTGTCAGTCTGGTCACAATGACCCACCATTTACCAGGACACACTTATTCCTTGACATAATGTTGACTTTCAACATGCTCAGCAAAAATTCCATCCTCGATAATCTCCAGGGTATACATTACGATCACTCTCCACTATACCCTGGATGCATCCACGGCTTGGCCCGATAATTATATTACCTCCCTTTGCTGGCTCTGCATTCTCACAGTAGCCAATCAGCTAAGCCACCGTTACATCCGAGCTTGCCAGTGTCAACAAAGATAGCGGTCGCAGTCACGAAGGTTTGTTCACAGTACCACTCAGATTTTTGGAGAAATAATACAGACAAATTGACAGATATGAAACTTCAAAAAATATTTAAAAGAACTCCTTCCACATCTTTCAGATTACCCTCTGCATAAATTGTGTTGCCAAGTTTAAAAGGTTAGATAATTAAACGAAGATAAGTGAATTTTAAGAAGCGAAAGTGAGTTGTTATTGGTTCAGCCAAGGGAGATAATAAAATCATTGGGCCAAGCCGTGGATGCATCCAGGGTATAGTGGAGAGTGATCGTTAAAATCTACAGGCCCTGAATGAAATCTGCAGGCCTATTTTATTATGGTCAAACCAATAAAAACAAATAGACTACACTGTAGTTTCACACTGTTTCTCGCAAATCAATTAGCGAACCCTATGGCACAGAGAGATGTTTTTATTTGTTAAAGACAGGTGTTGACATTCCTATGCACAAAGCGTTGCAATACCAGGAAGTGAAACTGTAAGTTATCGTAACATGATGGATCATTGATAATTCCCGAATGGTTAAAAAAAAAAACAAGGGAAAGATTCCAGTTGAAAAAAAGGCAGACAATTTACTGAAGGCCACAAGGACCTGCAAATATTTGGAACTGCTGGCCAGATACAATAACAACCGGCGCTTGGCCTCCGGGCCGGTGATTATTTCGAACACTGGTTCCGATTACACCTCTTCAAAATTTAGGGTAGGTAGGTGGGAAGGAATTTTTTTTACATTTTTTTAGAAGTAAAGTACAAACTAATAACACATATATCAATGTGTAATTGTTTATTCAATCAAGCTTGCGGCCATCATGTCGACTTTCCCTATCTGAATGACCGATGTCCGTTGGTCCCGGGGAAAAACAATGGTATCTGAAAGCTTATTTTATTCAAACCTCGTAAAAAACTAGGGTCTGCACCAGAATTTAGGGGTTGGTCAGGTAATCAGAACCACCACATTTTATTTTAGGCCTTATATGAGTGCCCATGTCATACTATGTTTACGACACGAGTGCCTAAATATTGGTATTTCCCAGCGAGAGCGAGGGATATATCGATATTCAGCCACAAGTGTTGTAAACATAGTATGATATGGGCACGAATATAATATTCTGTTTATTAGTATTATTACCGAAGTCGTCAAATTGAGGAAAATAAACTCAAATGTTCTTTCAAGCATAGACTGGCTACCCGCCATCGCCACATGTAAAACGCAACATCACAGAAGAAACGTGACGTCAAGCATTGTTCATGACGTCACGTCACCATGACAAAGTGATATTTTGCCCTAGGGCATCGTATGAAAAATATGAACCCCGATAGTTTTGCCCTCGTAGGTAATAATTTAATATATTCTTAGCTTCTACCTACCTTTGCTTCCTGTGACAACAGGAATATTGCGGGGTCTGGATCGAACATCAAAGATTATTGGTTTCTGTACCCATGGAATAAGAAAGTGAGTTCCCTCTCCTACAACATATTCTCTCACTCCTTGGAAACGATCAAATATAACTGCTCTGTGTCCACCGTCAACTGAAAAGAGGTAGCAAGTTGTTAGCTATATAACAATGTTTGTTTGCTGTTTAACACAGCACTCAGCAATATTCCAGTGGTGGTCTGTAAATAATTGTGTCTGGACAAGAGAATCCAGCAATCAACATCATGAGCATCGACCTATGCAATTGAGATATGATGCCATTTATCAACAAGTCACACAGTCTGAATACCCAATCCCACTAGTCGCCTCTTACATCAAGCATGGGTTGTTGAAGTCTTCAGCATGGGTGTGTCACAATGTGTCAGCTTGAGCGGTGAGTGAGGCCAAAAAGGATGCAGGTCTTAGACCTATAACACTTCCATGATACCGACCGAAGATCTGGGTTAGAATTGATCTTCAGTAACTCATGCATGTCGTAAGAGGCGACTAACGGGATCGGGTGCTCAGGCTCGCTGACTTGGTTGACACATGTCATCGGTTCCCAATTGCATAGATTGATGCTCATGCCGCTGATTACTGGATTGTCTGGTCCAGACTCGATTATTTACAGACATGGCTGCCATGTAGCTGGAATATAGCTGAGTGCAGCATAAAAGTAAACTCGCTCACTTCCATGAAACCAGCACATACAAGTATGATGCTGACATCAGAAACAAAAGATGGATGACTCCAGACAAATCTGGGATTCTGACCAACCAGGATTGGTTTCTGGCATGCCTAAGGGACACAACTCTGCACAGGGAATGGATGAAAGAAAGCATCAGCGGTTCCTTAGATGAGTCTCAGTCACAGGACATCAGAACTCTAGTTACATCATGTGCTTTCATTTTGTCGGAGATAGGCATTACATGTATTAGATTCAAGGTATGATGAATCCAGAATCCACACTGGGTGAAGTATTTAAATTTAATACTTTATTCAGTATTCAGAATAGCAATATTCCAGCTACATGATAGCATTCTCTAATAAGTCTGGACCAGACAATCCAGTGATCAACAGAATGAGCGTTGATCTATGCAATTGGGATACGATGACATTCATCAACAATGTCAGCAAGCCCAACCCTTTAGTCACATTATGACAAGCATGGGCTGCTGATGACCAATTCTAACTCTGATCTTCGCGGATGGCCAAGGTCTAAGCTTTTTGGAGTTATGTGGGAAAGCTTTAGATGGTCAGCTAACTGACCGCTAAGGCAAGCGAGCAAGGCAGCAAACATGGATTTAAAAACAAACTATCTGAGATAATAAGTTCATGCATGACGTGAACCAAATAGGTTTTGCACATTGTAAAAGACTGTAATCTTCTGACGAATTTTCACACGAATCCAATTTAACGCCATTAGGCCAGGAATGACTAAGACTTTCCAGAACAAAAGGAAACGAATCATTATCACGATTATAATTTCGCACAAACCCAAGAAACTGACCAATCTGAGACGTTGACATAGCATAGATCAATCAACAGATTATGTAAACGAGAAGGATCTATCTGCTCAACATTATGAAACATGCTCTCATCGAAGGGCACGCAGAGATGAATATACCGTTGAAAAGTGCTGTTTGAACAACTCCACCAGCAACTGCCAGACCAAGTCCGAGTTTTCCAATATAACTAAACAACCGCTGTGCCATCTTGCACTCTGTTAGGCAATCGAATGTTTTACAGTTATTTGCATCAGCTTGATCGCAAAATTGTGATGAAACCTTCGCCCATGTGTAGGGTACAGGAAGTGACCTTTGCGCATGTCTACCTAGAGATAATGCAAAAGTTGAAGTTTGTCAACAGCGAAATGAGATCGACGGCGATTAAGATACCAACAAACAATGGTCTCTCAAAAAAGCAAATTCTGAAATAATTTTAAAGAAAAAGTGCAAGTACGTTGCGCCAGAATATTATGCTTATCAGTAACACCTATTTTCCACTTGAGCTAAATATCCTTTCTAAACCATAGTTATAAAAACGGAAAAATAGTTGTTGCAAAGCTTGTTTCAAACGCAAATACTGAGGTGACAAAACTTTATAAATGATCAGCGTCTTTATTTTCAGACGTTTCTGTATAGATTCTTACAGCGTTTACAAGCAAATGGGGGCATGATGGGGAAGAGCAAGTTTTATATACAAGAACATGTACATATGATAATGAGATAACAATAACAAAAGTGGGATAATAGGCATCAAAGAAAGTTACACCCTTATCAAAACAAAGTTAGGGCTGACTGCACATCACGTAAATGCTGTTATACCTTTAGAAAAGTAGACTCTTCCACTAATGAGGTATACTTCCACTAATGAAAATAAGTTCTTGCACTGATGATTTATACTTATAAGGTCATATATTCAACAAGTTAAAATACCAATATCATCACCATCATCAGTCACATACTTCATCTGCAGCAGTGATACATAATTCAGTCACAGGACAATTAATGTAATTTCACTAAGTGTCCAACTGCATCTAGAAACTGCATTACAGGTTTTCGTCCAGTTACAATGTGTAGCTTTAGTCTCTCAATTCGGGCATCTCTGTCCCTGTCAATACGTGCACAGCGTTTCACAGCACCACCAAGACCTGTCTGTAGTCAAAACCGTTTATCTGCTGTTTGAATCTTCTTGATTTCTTTTATGAACTGGTAAATGTTTGGATGTGACCGGGACATTCCCTTCTTTAGTCCATTGTGAAACCCCTCCAGGTGGTTGTTTGAGCGAGGTCCAGTGTTCTCGTGCTGGTTCCAGATATTACAGGGAAATCTGGCGTCGTCTGTATCGGTATCCAGCATGAAGCACATGTTGACCGTCTCTCTGTGAAGTAACGAACTCAGCTCTCTGAAGATTTGCTATTTTGACGCTGAGTGTGTTTATATACGACATTGCAATAAAGAATAAGATGAGATGAACAGGTCTCGTTAACACAGAAAAAACAGTTTAGGTGATCAAAGTAGAAGACGAGTAAATCATGTTTATGCTACAAAAACATATGTATGGTTGAGCAAAGTATCCTAATTAATATGGTGAGTATGGTGCTTATACGACGAAAACATGTATGGTTGATAAAGAAAGAAGATAAGTAAGGGACCGTTCATAATTTATGGCTAGGGGGTGGTGGTGGTGGTGTGTGATGATGATTTTAAGGGGGGTCACCAATTTGGTTCTTGGGAGGCGGGGGTGGGGGCATCACTTTTGTACACATGTACAAGGGGGCAGCAATTTTGTACATAGAAATATTAAAACGTTATGCTTAAAATAATGGGAAGGTGTGACATAAATTATGTCATTGATTTTCTACATGAAGTGCAGGGCGGGGTCACTTACTTTGTACATCAAAACATGGGGGCGTTCACATGCTTCTCCGTGAAAATCATCATCAATCCCCCTTGACATAAATTATGAACGGTCCCTAAGTCATGTTTATACAATCAAAACATGTATGGTTGATGAAATGATACTAATGTAAGTAGATGAGTAAGATCTATTTGTTTAATGTTTACAGCCAGTTGGGTAATACCCATTATTATTGTAGGCGATATGAGGTGTAGGGATATGAGGGCAAGCCGAACAACATTGACAGATATATCTATTTCTCTGCTTGAATAATGAAGAAAAGAATAAAGAGGAAACGTGTTTTATTAGCCTCAGAAGATGAAATTCTACAAATCTTCTCCCATTAAAATCTGATTTATTGTCTTTCGCATTTTGATTCTTTAAACCACAAACTATATTTATCAAGTTTGCATTTTACTATCAACGGGTATTTGTTTCTTGGTAGGAATGTTTGTCTCATTTAGCGAAGATATTTTGGTTTAGTACACATCAAAACAACTTTTGAAACACACTTTCACGAATGATTCTGTACTTCGATTACGAAGGCAAGAACGGCTCCAATATGGAAAACGTGTATGTGGAAAACAAACACTATGGTACTATTCCCTGTGCATTTATTCAAGAACTACAACGTTTTCATATTTAAAACCATGTTATACTTTTCAACGAAGACAATCTTTTCCGATTCTAACTATAAAAAATAAAATATTGACAAATGTTATAATTCAACATTACCCAAAGAACATTCATTAGAACAATTTCATAATATATTTTGTTGTAATAAATAAGATTCTCTAAGGTTGTCTTTGCAGTAGGGTTAATGAAAGCTGTATTCCTACTAACTGCGTCACTAAGGTGCAGTCCGTATTAGTTTTCTATAATAGTTCAGAAATGTATCGTTGAATGGTGTAGCAGGTTCATCTCGTCTGTAAATCCTTGTTCGTTTCCGGAACTAAAGAGTACTTTCATAACATATTAATGCCGGAACGTGCGCATGCGCCTTAAAGTGATGCAAAAACGTGGTTAAGGTGAGCAAGAGAAGCAGATTTAAAACGTCCGTGTTTGGTGTAAGTAGCAGACAACATTGCCACTGGCACGAGCTAGTCAATAGCTGAGATATGGATGATGTTAAATGGTAAGAGAAAATCTAGTAGTTCACGTGCTACTGGAAATTAACGCGATATGGGTTTGCTTTCATTTTCTACCGATGGTTAAAACATACATGTCTAATATTTAGACATGTGAATGGTGTGCCACATGTTTCATTTGGTTTCTCATACTGATGTGGAATGCGTCCCAGTTGCTTAACTTAAATGTAAGATTAGGATGAGGATTGGTTTTGAAATTGTTTCGACGGCAAAGATCCACCGAACTCTGTAGATCATTTTAACATCTCATGAATGTGTCTGGTGTTGCATTTTCCCTTTGGCAACATACCTACAGCGTTACTTGAACACATTAACAGTTGATTAAAACTTGAAACTATCATTCTGAGTTATGATATTCTGAAACTGCATAACATTTCAATGTCCTATCCTTAAATATTGTCCTGTACATATCTCATGGTCTTGTGAGAAGATCTCATATTTCCATCAGCTGATGGTTACACTTGCACATGGATATGTACCAAGGATTCAAGACACTAAACTTTCAGGGCATGATTATAAGAGGATGAAGAAGATGCAATCAACTTAATTACTGAGTCTATCCATTTGATGCTCTTTTGTGTGCTCTTGCAATCAGGACTCTGGCCCATAATTTTGAGTAATATATCTGCTGTGGTGGCACCTTAATCATGTTAATGTTCACGATCATCTGAAGCGTCACAAATAAGCAAAGGTAACAATAAGAACTGATGTTTATTTTTTTTATGTCTTTTCCAGTAAAAAGGAAAACATGGCAGGAGAAAATGGCACAGCATCAGGTGCAGCTTCTGCACTTGAGACAAAGATTATTAACCAGATAGAGGTGAGTCTCCAGTTGAATCCCTGTTACCATAGTTTTGGTATGATTATTATTATTTTGACTACAACTTGTGAAACCTAACTTGAGGTTTTGATAAGTTTATTATATTATATTGTAATTTGATAACCTTGTATTAATTTTGTCTGATTGCAACAAGATTTAGACACAAAATTCATATTTTGCATATTCAAGTACAAGCCTTTTCACATGCCTGATTCTATTTTCAGTACTATTTTGGAGACATAAACCTGCCACGTGACAGATTTCTTCAGGATCAAATCACTCAGGATGATGGCTGTATCCTTTATATTTGTCCAAAGATTGTGTGAAAAACACTCTAACATTTTCAGTAACAGACATGATATATCTAGCTACCACTCTACAGCTGTAAAGGTTAGGACTCACAGATTCTCTGGGCGAAGATAGTATTTGAATATTTGGGATAATTCTGTTTGCCAGACATGGTGACCATTCACATTGCTGGCCAAGAATTTAACTCATGTAGTTGATATCAATTTGTTACAATCACAGGTGCAAATCTGGGTTTGAATTTGTCTTCAGCAACCCTTTCTTGTTGTAAGAGGCGCCTAATGTGCTCGCTAACTTGGTTGATCGCTGTTGCGTTGATCACTGGATTGTCTGGTCCAGCCTTGATATTTTACAGACCACCACCGTCCAACGTGAATATTGCTGAGTGTTAGGGGTGACTATTGAGGGGGAAACAACTATTGCGATAGCGATTGTCTATTGCAACGTACTATTGTGACCAACTATTGCAATATTATTGCGATAGTTGTTTTCTCCTTGAATTGTCTCATTTGAGGTCATTTCCCAAATGAATGTATAGTTTATATGAATAAAAACAATCTGAAGTAGTTTCAGTCTCTTTTATTGAGTGACAAGAAACTTGAAACCCAGATGAAGTAAACAGTTAAAACATAAATTCAATGAAGCTGCAAGTCTGTGCCCAAACATCCTACTAGTCAATTACTAAACTATCGATAGCCACACATACTATCGATAGTTTTTTTGTTTCTAAATTCTACCATCGATTAATTTCTATCGGAGACTCAACTTTGTCACAGCCCTAATGAGTGCTGCTTTGTACAGCAAACAAAGATACAGAATCATGTTAGAATCAACATCTAAGGATGGCTTAATGTTGATTTCAAGTATTTACCTGGACACCTTTTCATGGGCTTTAATGACTTTTTTTCACAGATGTACAGAACCCAGCTGATATTTATTAAGGTTTGTGAATGGTAATGATGCATTCTAATGATCTGGTGACAGTTTCCAATCCAAACTTCCTTGACTGTAGTACAGGGGTGACACTGGAGACTATGCTCAAGTTTAATCGGCTGAAGAAGTTGAGTGATGACCATGGTGTTATCTGTGCAGCTCTAAAGAAGTCTGCCAGTGGCTTGATGGAGGTAGGTATTATCAGGCTCTGTCCACTCTACTATCTGCTGTAGTCATCGTAGGTCTTCTAGTGTTAAGAAGGTCCTAAGTGCCACACATTAACATTAACTTCTGACTGTCTTACTCTTAACTCTGGGAGCGCTTTGAAAATCTTGGCCCTGACTTGTACTGAGGTGAGAATCCAGCTGTCTGCTGAGTCTAGGGTTTCAGTGAGGGAACCCAACTATCTGCTGAGGCTAGGGTTTTACTGAGGTGGGAAGCCAGCTGTCTGCTGAGGCTAGGGTTTGACTGAGGTGGGAAGCCAGCTGTTTGCTGAGTCTATAGTTTGACTGAGGTGGGAAGCCAGCTGTTTGCCGAGTCTAGGGTTTGACTGAGGTGGGAAGCCAGTCGTTTGCCGAGTCTATAGTTTGACTGAGCTGGGAAACCAGCTGTTTGCCGAGACTGGAGGCGGAAGCGAGTCGGAAGTCTAGGGTTTGTTTGACTGAGGTGGGAAGCCAGCTGTTTGCTGAGTCTAGGGTTTGACTGAGGTGGGAAAGCCAGCTGTTTGACTCGGAGTCCAGGGTTTGACTGAGGTGGGAAGCCAGCTGTTTGCCGAAGTCTATGGTTTGACTGGGAAGCCAGGCGCTGGGAAACCAGCTGTTTGCTGAGTCTATGGTTCTGAGGTGGGAAGCCAGCTTGTTTGACTGAGGCTGAGGGAAGCCAGCTGTTTGCTGAGTCTAGGAGTTTGACTGGGAAACCAGCTGTTTGCCAGCCATGGTTTGACTGAGTCTAGGGTTTGACTGAGGTGGGAAGCCAGCTGTTTGCCGAGTCTATGGTTTGACTGAGCTGGGAAACCAGCTGTTTGCTGAGTCTAGGGTTTGACTGAGGTGGGAAGCCAGCTGTTTGCCGAGTCTATGGTTTGACTGAGGTGGGAAGCCAGCTGTTTGCCGAGTCTATGGTTTGACTGAGGTGGGAAGCCAGCCGTTTGCCGAGTCTATGGTTTGACTGAGGTGGGAAGCCAGCCGTTTGCCGAGTCTATGGTTTGACTGAGGCGGGAAGCCAGCCGTTTGCTGAGTCTAGGGTTTACTGAGGCGGGAACCCAACTATCTGCTGTAGTCCATTGCTTGATTGAGGTAGGAAGCCAGGTATCTGTGGTAGTTAACATGTGATATGTTTATTAACACATAGGTTGCTGAAGACAACACGAAGATCCGCAGATCTCTTGATAAGCCGATGCCAGACAATACCAAGGAGAGGAGGGAGGAAGTGTCAGCCAGATGTGTATATGCTGTAAGTGTCATGGTTATTTCACATGGTTTCTAAACTTAGTAAGTTTACAAGAAACAAGAAATTGACCAATATATCACACCAGATTAAAGTTGGAAACGGGGAGCGTGATAAATATTTAAATGAGCACATGATGTTACTTGAGTTCTGATGTTCACTGACTGAGACTCATCTAAGGAACCGCTGATGCTCAAATTCTTTGACAGTTTTGTGTTTTGCATCGTAAGTTAGTTACGTGCATGAATTTAATGACAAAGGTTAGCTTTTAGAAAGTGGTGATTTAAAGATGACGTTGCATTGAAATTTTGCATTAAAGTATTTCTCCAGTGAAAGATGACAGTAATCACTACATGATGTGCATATGCTGTATAACCATATGTAGCCTGTGTCAATTAAGATCTTTCATCAAAAAACTCACCCGTGAAGGTCCGGGTTAGAATATTGATCTTCAGTAACCCATGCTTGTCGTAAGAGGCTGCTAACAGGATCGGATGGTCAGGCTATCTGACTTGGTTGACACATGTCATTGGTTCCCAATTGCACAGATCGATACTCATGCTGTTGATCACTGGGTTATCTGGTCCAGACTTGATTATTTACAGACCACCACCATATAGCTGGAATATTGCTGAGTGCGGCGTAAAACTAATCTCGCTCACTCATAAAATAACTGATTGCTTGCACCATAGTCAACATTGTTTTACTTGGTGAAAGGATTCTTTCAAACCATGTTATTATCTACACATTATGTGAAAAGGGTTGTTTATATATTCCCTTTGAATGCTACCTGATATGTTCCACACAACATCCAGTAGGTTAAACTATGTGACTGGCAAGATAACTTGAATAATACTGCTGATCTGGAAGCTATTGGAATAGCTATCTTTTGAACATCTTCGATAATCTCCAGGGTATACATTACGATCACTCTCCACTATACACTGGATGCATCCATGGCTTGGCCCGATGATTTTATTACCTCCCTTGACTGGCTTTTTATCCAATCAGTTGTCTACGCTGGGAAGTTGAGCGAACCAATCACAACTCAATTTTGCTTCTAAAATTATCTAACCGTTTAAACTTGGCAACACAATTGATGCAGAGGTACTCTGAAAGACGTAGAAGGAGTTCTTTTATATAGTTTTTTAAAGTTTCATATCTGTCAATTTGTCTGTATTATTTCCTCAAAAATCTGCGTGGCACTGCGAACAAACCTCCGCGACTGTGACCGCTATCTTTGTTGACACTGGCAAGCTCAGATGTAACGGTGGCTTAGCTGATTGTCTACTGTGAGAATGCGGAGCCAGCAAAGGGAGGTAATATAATTATCGGGCCAAGCCGTGGATGCATCCAGGGTATAGTGGAGAGTGATCGTAACATATACCCTGGGGATTATCGAGGATGCCTTTGAAGAATAAAAACCATGTAAAATGATTTATTCTCACTTACAATGATTTATCTGTCAACCTAGATGTGTAAATGTTTGGTCCAATGTATAGGTGGCAGTGTAAGAATGTCCTAATAGTTTGAAAGGAAGCTTGGATCTTACATATTAGCCTTGTGAAGTGTCATCATTGCCTTAAAAGATCTGGAATTCATTTTGTGTGCACCGTTCTGTAGGACCTGGGCGTTCAGTAGGGTGCGTAATTTGATGTCCAGAAAAACATTTTTACTCGTAAAATCGGGCCAAACTTAGAAGAAATACGAATAGCTGCAGAAAACAATAGATCAGACTATAGATGGCAATTATGTCGCTCAACCATGTATGACGACGGACCGTCGACACACCTGGAAAGAAATGCACGTGCTGCCTACAGGCACAAGGGGTCATCTCAAAGACATTTTGTGCTTTTTCATGTGTGTTGACTATGTCTCATCTATTGATTAACATCTTACCTGTCTTTCTTTCATAAAGTTTATGTTGAGATATATAAAAGAGTATGATACCTGAAAACCATAGAAACACATTGTAGTATATAGGTGACATGACCGCCCGAAGATCGACAGGACTGGATATTATTTGTAAATTGTTATGACGTACGGGGTGTACCTCCCCAGTATAATTGCCCTAAAGGATTATCTTATCTAAGCTGATATCTCTATCCCCCAGCTCGACCCCAGGTTTTGCATTTGAGACAACCCTCCCATCTGTTTCTTTTTATAGTGACAGTGAGACTCCATGGTAGCTACATCCTTAATAGTTTCAGCATAAAAGTTATTATTTTTTACGTCAGCTATCGTGTATAATGAATCTACGTCTAATTTCAAATTGGGCATTTAAAAAGTGTCCTTTGTAATACAATATCGTCGCACACTAATTTGCATAAAGCCATGGTCTGTTCCAAATAAGTCTTGTTGGACTTAGAAAAAACCCGCATTGCTAATTTCTGCACTAATTTCCCCTCAGTAAAGTCCTTTTTCTCCGTTTCCTATCTCTCTACCACTGAGACTGTAGTTAGGCCGAACTTAGTTTAACAGATATTTCACACTTTCACATATCAACTACATAAATTGTATAGATAAATGAGAAAATACAGTTTTGTTTTATTTCCAACAGTACTTTAGTGCATTGTCCATCTCCACTTTGCTGTGTTAGGCATGAGCACATGATGTTACTTGAGTTCTGATGTCCCCTGACTGAGACTCATCTAAGGAACCGCTGATGCTCAAAATTGTCAACTGAGTCATTTGGATGAAACCATATTTTTGATGGAATAATTGCAATAAATTATGGATGTGTGTGTAGAAGTCAGTATGAATTAATCTTGATACTGTTTAATCATTACAGGTTAAATGTTTGGGTAATGTTTATTTTCTCCCTGTAGCTCCTTGTGATGTTTCCAACACAAAACATTACACATTAGGCAGTCAGTAATGTATATATTTGGGGCAATGTTACAGAGTTATATCTCTGAAGTAAGTTAGGGAGTATTTTTACATGCATACCGTTAAGTGGTTCTGGACAGTCTTGCTGCAGAGTTGTGTCCCTTAGGCAGGCACAAAACCTGTCATTGTGGGTTCAAGTCTGGTTCCAAAGGGTAATAGTTGTAGGTTTGTCAACACCATACCTATAAATGTGTGACCTGCATCACTTTGGGCTTTTATTATCTGACATGCCTCCAGATAACTGGGATTATGTCACAAACTGCATTAAACCAGTCTCTCACAAGTGTAGGATATGTTCATGTATTTATTGGCCTTGTGGTGGGGTAGCCTTGTGGTTAAAGTGTTCGCTTGTCACGCTGAAGAGACGGGTTCGATTTCCCACGTGGGTACAATGTGTGAAGCCCATTTCTGGTGTCCCTCGCCGTGATATTGTTGGAATATTGCTAAAAGCAGCGAAAAACTATACTCACTCATACGACAGGACAGTCTGTATCACACTGACAATGAAAGCACATGATGTAACTAGACCTCTGATGTCCTGTGACTGAGACTCATCTAAGGAACCGCTGATGCTTTCTTTGAAGTTTTGCTGCTTCATGCAGTGTTTTCAGGAATAAATGATTCTCTTTGTCAGCTTTAAGTTTTTCCTGAAGAGGCATTCAGAACCAGAACAAAGGTTTTCCTATCAACTGACAGGACTGACATTTTAAAGACATTTCAGGCAGAGGTTAATGTGTAATAAAGACCATTGCGTATTGTTATGGCATATATAAGTTTGGATTTATTCCATAATATATTTGTATCTGGTCGTTTTTACTAGGTTCAAGTCAGTACTCTCTGCTAAAATGTTATCGTCACCCCATTTATTAAGACTGAAACTTAATGAATGACAACTTCTTGTTTATTGCATAGAGCAACATTTCCATGTAGATTCTTACATTCTTATCAAGCTCAAAATTTGCTTGTTGGCCTTTCTGTAAAATCTCTGTCCCTCTTGTGAGAGACGTGCCCCTCTCGTCATATTACTGGACTCGCGCCCTCCTTCGTCATATTACTGGACTCACGCCCTCCTCGTCATATTAGTGGACTCATGCCCTCCTTCGTCGTATTACTGGACTCGCGCCCTCCTTCGTCATATTACTGGACTCATGCCCTCCTCGTCATATTACTGGACTCATGCCCTCCTTCGTCGTGGATTACTGGACTCATGCCTTTCTTCGTCATTAAACCTGCCTAAATCTGTCCTGTTGTCATATAACCTATCTCTTTCCACTGTATAACGGGACAAAGTCTTTCCTTCCACTGTATAATGGGACAAAGTCTCTCCTTCCACTGTATAACGGGACAAAGTCTCTCCTTCCACTGTATAACAGGACAAAATCTCTCTGTCACCATATGATAGGACCAACTCCCCTCTTGCTTTACAGAAAGGTTTCCCTGAGGATCGAACACTGGACGAGCTGCAAGAGTTCTTCAATAAACAAGGAGAAGTGGAGAGCATTTCCATGAGACGAATTCCCAAAACAAAGGACTTCAAGGTAGGTGCAGGTCTAAAGCAACCTTTAATTTTTATGTATATTTCTTTCATAAGTCACCCGTGAAGATCCGGGTTAGAATTGATCTTCAGTAACCCATGCTTGTCGTAAGAGGTGACTTGAGGGATCGGGTGGTGAGGCTCGCTGACTTGGTTGACACATATCATTGTATCCCAATTGCACAGATCGATGCTCATGCTGTTGATCACTGGATTGTCTGGTCCAGACTCGATTATTTACAGACGGCTGCCATATAGCTGGAATGTTGCCGAGTGCAGCGTAAAACTAAACTCACTCACTCTTTCATAGTGCCCTGTGTGTTTTACTGCCCGAGTTCAAGGAGCAGTCTTCTGTACTATTCTGATTCATGCTTGCTGTGAATGTTTCAGGGTTCTGTGTTTGTGGTGTTCGCTAATAAGGAGGATGCAGAGAAATTTGTTAAAGCAGAATCCTTAAAGTATGGAGAAACAGAACTAATCCGAAGTTTCAAGTAAGTTTGTACATATGTTTTTCTGCATGTTAATTCATATATGTTAACTCTTGTATGTAAGTATCGGACAGTGATCATTAGGTAAAACACATTCAATTTTAGTGTGTTTTTATTGCTTGCCACGAAGTGGGGCCAGGGATTTGGAAATGGAGTCTGTCCTTATATCCTTCAGTCCATCCGCTTCTCAATGTATAGAAATTTTCTCAAAAACAATTCGACTTAACAAATTTTAGTATTCAGTTTTAGACTGTGGTCCTTTCTTCATGCTTTGTGCATATCAACTAAAATTGGGACAAGAAACTAATGAAATTACATGAATAAATATACTCTGCGTCATTAATGAATGGTCAAGCTATTGGTAACTATTTCTTAAAAGTTTAAAATCTTTGTTTTTGTTTGAAATATATACAGCTGAATGTTTTACAAACTGTCAAAACAGTATGGGAAAACACATCAGGCCGTTGAAATGTCATTATTAGGTTCTTTAACATCCAATACATTCTGCTACAAATGGCACATTTTTTATTGAAATTGTCAGTATGGAAATCTACCTGCCACTTAATGTCTATGATTTGCACATGCAAGTCGCTCTATCCATGGAAAGTGGAGGACAATACACATGCATTGATGCTTTTTCACTGTCGTTCACTGTTCAGGTACCTGTTTGAAATTGCAGCTTATAATGAGAGGTTTTGTGGCACTTGTTGAAAGGTGTCAGGCTATAGGCCTTTAGGAATCTGGTCAAACTCAGCGGCAGGTTGCTGTCTGCTTTAATGTGAGTCGGAGTGCTATTGGTAGACTGTGGCAGAGATTTCAAGCCAATGGGTCCGTGGAATATGCACGTCGACCAGGTCGCCCCAGAGTCACAATAGTCAGAGATGATAGGTACATGATTAACTCTACGTTACGTAATAGATTCCTTAACGCAGCAGATCTTCCGACAGAACACTTCAATGTTAACAATGTAAGGATAGCACCGTTCGTTGATGTTTAAGGGCAGCCAGACTCCGCTGTAGGCAACCTGCAGTTCGTCCACCACTAACCCCATGTCATAGGCAGGTGCGTTTGAGATGGAGTAGGCATGGTCCCATGTGCTCTTCACAGATGAAAGCAGATTCAATTTGTCCTTCCATGATGGTCAGCAGATGAGTTATTGTCGCAATGGAGAGCAAATAGCAGATGCAACTGTGGCCATGCATAACCGATTTGGCTGGAGGTTGGTCATGGTTTGGGCAGGGCTAACTCCTACTGGACATACTCCACTGCACATGGTCGACAGTAATCGTACCGGAGACCATTATCGGGACGAGATTCTGGCTCCTATAGCAGTACGATTTCTGCAAGCTATGCATGGCTTTTATGGTGGAACCCCTTTACTGCAAGACGACAATGCTAGGCCTCACAGGGCCAGGATTGTCACGGAATTCCTTCGGCAGCAGGGTGTAGAGCAGATGGAGCGGCCAGCATGCTCACCAGACCTCAATCCAATTGAGCATGCCTCGGATGAATTCGGTCGACGTGTGTACACACGTCACCCAGCAGCAGTGGATCTCCCAGGACTCTGCAGAGCTCTAGTAGAGGAATGGAATGCGATTCTGCAAGCTTTCTTTATGAACTGACCGCCTCAGTGGTGTAGTGACCGCGTCATACCAGAAGACGTTAAAATATGGTACTTGTTGGTCCCTGCCTGGCGCTCGGCATTAATGGGTACAACAAGGACTGGTCTGAGTGGGGTATTCGTGCTTCACTGCGGCATGGAATCTGTGGGCTAGCGCTATAAAACCAGCTTAAGTCTGGGCTAGTACAAGCAGCCGCACATACACACGCATGCACGTCATGTGAGCGAAATATTCTCAAGCACGACGTAAAACCCAATTTCACCTCACCTCTTTATGAACTTGCTAAGGAGCATGAGAACAAGGTGCACCTGTGTTTTGGAACCGCGAGGAGGGTACACAAGATACTGGATGACAAAGTGCTTCATGTTTGTCCTTTTCATTTTGGGGGGTTGGTCTATACAACTGATGTTTGCTAGTGCTGTTCGAACTTTTTGTCTGTATGTCATGTGTCACGTTTGTCAACACATTAAATGTTATGATGACGCCCTTAGTTCTATTATTTATGAGAAATGTTTCTTTACATGTGCTATATATCATTTGACCGTTTATTAATGACGCCTAGTATACTTGCTTGTCTTGAAAATTGGTGCCATAAATGAGTGGGAGCCTTTTCTGTGGATCAGTTTTGAAATCTGGTTTGCACTGATTATGCTTTTAGGTTTCTCAGCACCATACCTGTAGTGTTATCACTTAGAACTTTCCTCCCAAATTATGCTGACGCTTATGATATGACTGAAATATTCTCCACATCACTCCACTCCTCCACTCCACTCCACTCCTCCACCCCACTTCACTCCACTCATGGCAGTGTGGAGTGAAAATGTACCTCATTTTCATGTTTTAACCATAATATGAGCAAGCTTTCAATTTGAATATTGTAAGCTAACTTATCAGGCGGCATTGAGTCAACAAGGCAACCTTTTCCTGGTAAGATCACAAAGAATGAAAATAACCAATGGCTGTTTTTCAGAGAAGATTATTTCAAAAGAAAGAACGAAGAAAAGAGGCAGGCGAAGAAGCAGCATAATGACGAGTAAGTAAACACTTGTATATCATTGTACACAGCTGACTCATACTATTTTAGACAGGATGCTGATGTCTTCAAAATAGGTTCACCAATGACTGACAAGAATGTTGGCAATAGAGAACTGCCTCTCCTTGCCACCTTGTCGGGGCGGTGGGGTAGCCTAGTGGTTAAAGTGTTGGCTCGTCATGCCGAAGATCCGGGTTCGATTCCCCACATGGGTACAATGTGTGAAGCCCATTTCTGGTGTCCCCTGCCGTGATATTGCTGGAATATTGCTAAAAGCAGCGTAAAACTAAACTAACTCGCTCACTCACTGCCACCTTGTCAGCTCATCCAGACACTTACTGTGCATCAGATGACTTGTCAGTGTGTCTTGTTGTTGTAGATATCTTATTGTAGATATTGTAAGCTGGCCGCTCACTAAAGTACTGCTGTACCGGAACGGGGGTCAGCAGTATTCACTTGGCCTTGACGATTCCTTCACATATTCCTGTGTAAAGCCATAAATCTTAAAGGCTGGGGTTCAAACCTATACACAAATGGGGTGTTGCCACGTTGTATTGTCAAAGCTGTCTTTCGATGCAAATCAAAGCAGTCCATTCCATGAAATATAACAAATTTGACTCACCGGTTCATGATGTAATTATGCCATAGTATAAAGAAGTGTTATGAAGACAGTCTACAAAGCATACGTTTTGAAAATTTATTTCTATTTTTGATATCCTGATTTGAATTTCCCACTGTATGAGTCAGGTGACCAGAGGAGGAGCGACAAGTGTGCTAGTGGAGGAACTGTTCATTCGGGGTTCCATATTTCACTTTTTGTCTCCCCGGCATGTAATATAGTTGACGCCTCATCCTTCTGTCCATCCATAATCATTTTGTTTCTGGAACATAACTAAAAAAACGTTCATTATTTTTATTAAAAATTGGTAGATATATCAAACAGAACCTAAAGTGGTGCCTTTTGCTATTTACAGATTTTTTGTCATTTTTAGTTTTCTTGGTTTCCATGGAAACCGGATGTAGTTTCAAAAGGGAGGGGTGGGCTTTGATTCTGGAGCACAAGTCGAAAACCTTCAATATCTTTCTACAAGACTTAACGGATATATCAAACAGATTTTGAAGTGGTGCCTTTTGCTATTTACAGATTTTTGGCATTTCTATTTTTCATGATTTCCATGGAAACGATTTGAACTTTGCACTAAAAAAAATCAAGTTGGACTTTAAGTAACTCTCAGATGGTTTGTTCTGTCAACTATGTTTTGGCTGGGGGTGGGGGGAGCGATTTTGTTCTGATGACTCTTGTTTCCAATGCTGTTGTGATTCTTTCAAATGCTCTGTGTCTTTAAATAATTCCACTTTTCCTTTTATAGTGTCAAGGAAAAGGAGAAGGAACAAGATGATGTAAGCTGTGAATTCATTCATTTTATCTTATTAGCAAGATAGAAAGAACATTGTTCACCTTAGCCTTGCAGGGGAATATAAATGGTGCTAAATAAGAATTGCATACGTGTGATAATTCCATTTAACAGTTTAAATAGTTATTTTGACAGTCAGTAGTTCTCTATTACCGGTACATATGACCCTAACTGCTCAACATATTATTCACAATGACTAATTTTCTGAGCTACTGCTCAAGTTTGGCAAGCAGTGATGTAAATTCAATTATGCAACATCTGTTTTGTTAATCAATTATATAATGTAGAATACATTTCTCAAGAGTAAATGTTAAATCTAGTCATTCATCATGAAGTGGTAACCATGTTTCTAATGCATGTTTCTGTTATTAGAAAATTCGAGATCGCATTAGGACATCCACCATCTTAAGACTTGACGGCCTGCCTGGTAACATCACCCTGGAAGATCTCCGCAACTTCTTCTCTGACTTCGGCACGGTGGCCTGGGTTGATCACGACAATGGAGAAACAAAGGTAGCCGTCCAACTTGTGCAGAACATTACGGATGTAAAGTTTCTATTCTCATGTTTTTGTTGGGATATTTCTCTTAGTTGTAAACTGTGCCTTTATTGTCATGGTTGCCATTCATAATTGCATCCTTTAGCAATTGTAGCTCAACTACTGATCATGGACTCATTTTCTATGATGCTTATTGCCTTTAGCAATCTTATTAAGATCAGATATTTCCTGTGTTACATCAGCTCTCTTAAGTCTTCACTTCTCCCAACACGTCATTCCAAATTTATTTTGATAAAAACAAATCTGCAAATGGTACTGCACTTGGGCTTAGATGCCATGAGACAACATTCTATTTAGTATTCACAACAGTTCAGAGATGTATTGGAGGAAAAAGATATGATTATGTGAAGTTGGGATTTTAGCTTATTGGTACATGACTTGGGTCAACATTTATTTGGCTAGTGTGCTGTTTAGTACTCCTGTTGATGCCCCAAAGAGTGTTTAGCCCAGTTATGTTGTGACTGAGTTACTGAGAAACAAAGGAGTAAATCTATTTTTGATAATACATCAGAAGGAATGCATGAATCAAAACATTTGGTAGGTGTTTCACAGGTGTCAAAGCGACGTGTGAATTCAAAGGCATGGGTGAATCATGTCGGCTGAACCTGTGAAGATCCAGGTTAAAATTGGTCTTCAGCAACCCATACTTGCCGTAAGAGGCGACTTACGGGATTGGGTGGTCAGACTCACTAACTTGTTTTACACGTCACTGTATCCCAATTGCATAGATATAGGTCTATGCTCATGCTGTTGATCACTGGATTGTGTGGTCCAGACTCAGTAATTTAAAGATTGATGCCATATATCCTGGAATATTGCTGAGTGCAGCTTTGAACAACAACCAAACCAAGCCATGTCAGCTGAAACAAATCTCTTGCATCAGGTGTTAATGAACTTTTTATTTCAGGGCTATGTGAGGTTTACCAACGAGAATGAGGCAACAGAAGTGTTGACTAAAGCTAAGGAGGCAGGAGAGGGCAAGATTGAAATCAACAATAATGAAGTGACAGCTCGTGTGCTTGATGGTAGGCTCCTTTGCTTTGCTTTATCCTCATCTACATGTCATCATACCCCAGTTGTGTAGATCGATGCTCATGCTGTTGATAACTGGATTGTCTCAATTATTTACAGACCCAGTTATTTACAGATGCTGCCATATAGCTGGAATATTGCTGAGTGTGATGTAAGACTAAACTCACTCCTCATCTACCGCCTCTGTGGTGTGGTGGTTAGAGCGTCCACCTGGAGAGCGAGAGCGGCCTCGTCATACCAAAAAACGTTAAAATATGGTATTTGTTGTTCCCTGCCTGGCTCGGCATTAATGGGTACAACAAGGACTGGTCGGCTCGAAGTCAGTATGATGTGTCTGAGTGGGGTATTCAAGCTTCACTGCGGCCTGGTATCTCAGTGACCTAGCACTATAAATCCAGGTTAAGTCTGGACTCTAGTACAAGCAGCCACGCATGCACGTCATCATGTGAGCAAAATATTCTCAAGTACAACGTTAAACCCCATTTCACCTCATCTCACTCCTCATATGAAGATGAGGAATGTGATACTGGATAGACACTAAAGTCTTGTACCCACCTCTGCCATGAGTGTCTCCCCAGTGGGCAACCAGGATGGCATCTCTCTCCTGTTCGTCTCTCTCTCTCTCTCTCTCTCTCTCTCTCTCTCTCTCTCTCTCTCTCTCTCTCTTCTCCTCTTTCTCTTTCCTTCCCTTTCTTCTCCCCCCTAAAATTAAGGTTTGACAACAACCCTGTCTGTTTGTACAGAAGTTTTCGTCTTGTCTTAATAATTTATAACACTTTCTCTGTGTGTAGGGGAGGAAGAACTCAACCACTGGAAGATGATCTTTAAGACAATGGAAGATCAACGCAGGACTCGCAACAAACCAGGAGGTTTCAGAGGAGGCAAGCGACGCAACAACCAGTATGGAGGAAGGGTAAGTAAACAGGAAATACCTTATTTTGTGCTCATCATCTGTTTATCTGCTCAATAGTTAATGGTGTAATCCGACAGCTAACATTTGGTTTTGTGCATATTTGCAGACTAAATAAGGATGCAGTAAGATAATATCAGTATATTCTGTTACAGTGGAAACTTTTCAACCATAACTTATCATTCTCTGTTACAATTTTGGCATTGTCAAAATAAGTTTCCCAAAGTTACCCATGTACAAAAATTTTGCCAAAAGAATGTTACCCATGTACAACACTCTAGTCGTAAAATATTACCCATTTTCTGATTATTAATGTAAGTACCGGGTATGTACCCGATTCTTGTAGTAAAATGTCAAAAATATACCCTATACTTGTCATGAAATGATATCCATATACCCATTCTTGTCGTAAAAAGTAACCCATCTACCCTTTCTTGTCGTAAAAAGTAACCCATCTACCCATTCTTGTCGTAAAAAGTAACCCATCTACCCATTCTTGTTGAAAGAGATGACTGAGTAGAATCAAGTGGGTTCCAGTGTGTGACCTGGCACATAGTATTTTTTTGTAAGCTGTGATGTTACTGAAATACTGTTGAAAGGTGCATTAAAGCAAATCACTCAATGTGGATCATGGTGTCCAGCACTGAATGCCCTCTGCAGACTTGACTCTTCACAGACTGCTGATACTTTGTTGAATTACTGCTGTCTGTGATGTATAACACGCTCTCTTTCTCCTGTGAGCATTTAAGTTTGAAACTGCTTCATAGTTGAATTTGAATTACCGGTACTTTCTTTGTTGCTACAGGGAAAGCGGAGTTTCAACAAGGACAGAGATGGAGGTATGTGTTTAAACACACCTACACTGGTTTATTCTATTATTGTGAAATGTTTGGGAGTTTGTTCAGAGATATGTTGCAGGTATTGTTCAGGGATACACTGGGATATTATTCAGAGTTCCATTGTCAGGGTATCGTTGAGGGTTACATGGTCAGGGAACTGTTCAGTGTTACATTGTCATGATACTGTTTGATGTCTTTCAGTGGCATTTAGAAGTTGTACATAGATGTCCAAGATATTTTTATGGATTAAACTTCTTTTTATTTCCCTCACGACGTTTTGGGACCATTCCAGGTCCCTTCATCAGGTGAACTGACAGTTGAGAGAGAACTGTCAGTTCACCTGATGAAGGGACCTGGAACTGTCAGTTCACCTGATGAAGGGACCTGGAACTGTCAGTTCACCTGATGAAGGGACCTGGAATGGTCCTGAAACGTCGTGAGGGAAATAAAACAGAAGTTTAATCCATAAAAATATCTTGGACATGATACTGTTTAGCATAAAAGATTGCACACCATATAATTCTAGATAACCCGTGAAGATGAGGCTTAAAAGTGTTCCTTGGCAATCAGTGGTAAAAGCAACTAATAGAATGTCAGAATCCAGGCTTGATTACTCACAAAGCATGGCATTAACAACAACAATATGCTTTGCTGATGTAACCTGCTTCTTGTTTCAGATGGAGAGTCCAAAGATTCTGGAGAGCCTGCAGCCAAGGTAGTAAAGACAGAAGACGACTGAGAATGTCTCCCTGCTGCAGCATACAATACAATCATCAGATGTCTCTTTTGTGCCTTTGTCCATCAGATGACTCCACCAGGTGGAAGGGCAGAGGTTGGGGACAAGGACTGGAGTCTGGGGATGAGAGACGAGGGCGCCGGGGATGTGGGGGCTCTCAGTTCATGGGACATCTTTGGCTGACTACCTTGAACATAATGATGTACATTCACATTACATGTGGCTCTATAAGAGTTAACAATGTAGATATGAAAGCGATTGGAAGTGGTGTTCTGAATGTGACATGTTCTGTTTTATATTTATGAAAGATGTTGCTGTTAGTAAAACAAAATTATAAAAGGTAGTAATAAGTGGATTATGGGTGTAGCACCATATGTAAAAGGAATGTTTACGTTGTTGTGGATATAAACAAAATTGCTGGATTCCTTTGTTGACATTGATATGAATATCAAATGGGTTGACAGTGTTTGACTACTTCAGTGAAATCAATGGAAAATAATAATAGTTCATCTTATTTTGTAAGTTTTTGAAGAGCAAATAGAATGATTGGAAATACATTGTATCGAAATCCAGCGTAAAATGTTGTACTGTATTTCCTAGCCAATAGCACCAGGCCACACCCCATATTGCAAGGTGAAAAGAGATTGTAGAAAACTGGAAATGTGTTTTTACTTTTTGTAATAATACCGCCTAAATCTGAACATTTTTACCCAGTGCTTTTACAAGATTAGATAAATTTCTTACCCGTTTCCAAAGGGTTAAATTCAGCAAGATGGATTATTGGTCAAAAGCACAAAATAGGGTGCAAGTATAGTAACGGTTGACCATCCACCTTTGGCAAGTAGCTCTGCCCAGTAAAGAGCTGGGAGGCATGGGTTGTCCATGTCTATTCATTTACTCATCTATACATAAACCATTTCACATTTTAATGTACTTTTTATACTTTCGTTTGTTCCTAATACATTTCACAAACAGTTTATTTGGAAACATTTTCACCTTGTATTATGAAAGTTGTTTAGTACTTTTTAAGGCTAACTGTAGTCACATTTTATGGCAATCATTTCCATTTGTACATAGTGTCAATAAACTACATTTATCATCACCTGGTGTTTTAAATGCCTTTGTGGGATGTTGTGTATCCATTGCAGAGACCTTCAGTTACAATATACCCTTTGTGGGATGTTGTGTATCTGTCAGGGTAGAGATTGCGATCGGAGTCTCTACTGGTAGAATCTGCAATCCTACTAGTAGAGATTGCAATCAGAGTGTCGACTGGTACAATCGGAGATTCTACCAGTAGATTTCCAATTCAAATGGTAGAAACTCTGATTGATCTGTGGGCAAACAACAAAGATGACAACAATTGTACAAATTTATGGAGAGATGGAGAAGTGTAATAATACTTTGGGGGCAGGGCCTGACGAAGATTATTATAAAAATTACATTCTAAGCAGAAGTGATATTCAGACTCAATAATGGGTACAACACAAAGAGGGCATAATCTTTCACTCTGTGCTAGGCCAATCTTTGGTCTCCTCGATTAGCATCGGAGCTTATAGAGTGCATATTGTTTTATGCTTATATTCGATATCTTCCATTGAAAAGTGCACACATCAGTGATTATTGATAACAAATAATGTCACATTTATGATGGACCTAAATTTTGCGCATGTCATTTATTGATGAACATAGCTGACATTAGCACTCACAATGAAGTGCATGGAATTTTTTATTATTTTTTTATTTTAGCATTACATTTATTTACAATAACAATCATAAATGAAAACAAAGTAACAATGTTTTATTTTCATTTTGTTTGTAAACATCAAGTTGGACAAACCTCGTGCACTTTTCAATGGAAGATGTCATTCTACAATATACAAAAATAAATTTTGTTTTTCTAAATATTCACTTAGATTGCAATCTCTACTAGTAGGATCAGATTTGAGCTTCTACTGGTAGGGATTGCGATTGTATAGGTTATTCTATATAATGAGAGTCTCTACTGATAGAGACTCCGAGTGCAATCTCTACTAGTAGGATCGGAGATTCTACCAGTAGAAACTCCGATCGCAATCTCTACTGGAAGAGACTCCGATCGCAATCCCTACTGGTAGAATCTCCGATCCTACCAGATCGCAATCTCTACCCTGACATATCCATTGCAGAGACCTTCAGTTACAATATACCCTTTGTGGAATGCTTGGTATGAATGTGGTTTCCCATGACTTGATTAAGAGGCAACACTTGATTTTTAAAGCCACACTCAGCAATATTCCAGTTATAAAATTATGAAAAGTGGTATTTTTCAATTATTTTGTTCTATCTGAAAATAAGTCAAGAAAATGGTATAAAATCTTGCAAAACATACAACTGAATTGTACAAAATAGGAAATAATGAAAATTAAAATTGAAAAAATGTTTGAATTTGGATTTTGGACACTCCAGCGCTCTGGAAACGAGTATATGAGAGTTGTCTCCTCTTTGTTTACAAAGGTTCTATCTTTTATAAAACTCGTAACTAGATGAGGCTATAGTAAGCGTAATAGATACGTTATTACAAAGACAGCTAAAGCTACAATTAACACAGATGAGGACTGAGGTGATTCAGCTCCCATAATTAGTCCACAAAAATATATGCACTGCTGTCGTGAGAGACTACGCACCCAGGTGAAAAATGGGACATTCTGTATCAAGATTTAACAGTACTTCAAGACTGACTGAGTTTTAGTTTTACGCCGCTTTTAGCAATGTTCCAGCAATATAACGGCGGGGGACACCAGAAATGGGCTTAACACATTGTGCCCATGTGGGGAATCGAACCCGGGTCTTCGGCGTGACGAGCCAACGCTTTAACCACTAGGCTACCCCACCGCCCCAGTACTTCAAGAAACACATGTCAGAATGATAGATTAGGAAAATATGATACCATTTATAGTTTCTATGCAATTATTTTTTAAACAATTTCGAAAGGTGATTGAAGGATAAGCCTTTTCTCTTTTAACTTTAAAAAAGGTAACTACATATTATGTGAGCAGAATTGAGTGAACCCTAGCAAATATTTATGGTATCACTCTTTTCTGATTTGAAATCTCAGCAGCATTTTAAAAACGGACTGAAATCTACGTGAGAAGCTTTAAATTTATTCACATAAACTGGATACATAACACATTTTTTTAATGAAAAACATACCAATCTTTTTAATAAAATTGGAAACCTCATTAACTTAGGCTCCTTGTACTGAGTGAGTTTTACGCGGCACTCGGCAATATTCCATCTATATGGCGGCGGTTTGTAAATAATCGAGTCTGGACCAGACAGTCCAGTGATCAACATCATGAGCATCGGTCTACGCAATTGGGATTCGATGTCAACCAAGTCAGCGAGCATGACAACCCGATCCCGTTAGTCGCATCTCCGACAAGCATGGGTTACAGAAGATCAGTTCCAACCTTGATCTTTACGGGAAGAAGAAAACCAGAAGTGATGCAGGTCTTGGATGTTTATCAGTGAAACCACGAGTATGATGCTGGTAAATCTGGAAACAATCAATGCGTACATGGATTCGAACCCAGGCTGTCCGCCGTACAAAAGGAGACGCAACTCCGCACACTGAAACAGCTGCAACAGAGCCGACGGGGCCACATTCTCCTTTTCCAGACTCCCGTTAAGCATGAAACTCTTTTGGGGTTTTACATTTAAGAGCATGGGGCAAGTCTTTCATGTTCTGATTTCGTGTCCTGTGTTTTGTGTAACCCCATTAGATGCAAAACGTAAATAAGAACCGTTTAAGTCACCAAGTGGGATTCCGGATTAGAGCTGGTCTCCATCAACTTCATTTACAGGGTGCCGCCATCAGGTTGAAACTCCGCCCATTGTTGCATAAACAACAAACAAAACATCCAGAGGAGCAAGTAGATTCTATCGTATGTACGTTTGTAGAAGTGATCTGTGCTACTCCTGACTGGCTTTTCGGTCAAATTCAGGTTTTCAAATTTAAACCCACAATGTTTTTTCTTACCGACCTTTGTAAGAAAACACGTTTTGTTCAAAAGAACGAAGCCCATGTACATCTCATATAAAAGATTGATTGGCCAATCTAAAGATTATCTGGCTTCGCGTGTGTGAATTCTGATCACCAAATGCACCGTTTACTCGGTGATAACCGCTCATCAGAGTGTTTTGACAGCGACACATCACAAGCAGCCGTCGGTTCCACCGTGACGTCATCAAGACAAGAACTGAAAAAATATTGACCGCAATTACGCTCATTTTACGCTTGTGTTTACAAAAATGTTGTCTCATGTTCTTTTCTATTTATGTTGTATGTAAATGTGACAGGTACCGTCTAAGCTAAAAAGAGTACACGTATAGATATTTTGATAAAGAAATATTTGTCTTTAAATCATTAGTTAATCCTCTGTCTTCAGTCATGATTAATGAATGTTGTTTCAGGCTCATTGAGATCAAAGAAGAAACACTACCTTCCCTCAGATCATTTTGCGCAGTTGTTGAAGAGGTTTTGAATTGCCAACCATCATGTTCATCTTGTCACTATCTGGAACACGCTTTAGAGGTGCATCTTCAAAGAACAACGAAACGTCTGTATTAAAATATTTAATGGATTTTTTAGTTTTTAGCAATATTCCAGCAAAATCACGGCGGTGAACACCAGAAATGGGCTTCACACATTGTACCCTTGTGGGGATTCGAACCCGCGTCTTCGGCGTGACGAGCCAACGCTTTAACCACTAGACTACCCCAACGCCCCCGCGGGCCTGGAAGCACACACAAACGCTCAATACTAAGTTAACACCTATGGTGAGTTTAGCTCCTGTTATATTAACACATATGCATAGGTTACCTCTTGCTGCGTCACATTTTCACTTATCACAAAGCACAGGAAACTAAGAAAGGAATTATGTCCGGTGGCATTAACGGAAAAGACGACTGGGCCTAATTCGAATTCCCTATGTAATTGAAAGATTGACTATTCCTTACCCAGATTACCTACTTTATGAATCAAACTCAACAAAACCATCTGATCTAATCACCATCAACTATATAATGGGTAAATATTAAACAAAGTGGCGAACACTGACGCCAGTGTCATTAGCAGCATCACGCTCGGAACCCGCGTTCACATACGCGCGTGACACATGGCAGTGACGCCACGTGACGCTGATTAGGCCATGTCGTCCGGGAGCTGTAATCACGTCTAATTATCTTGATTGCAGTCGGCATCTTTCTCTCTGATGTCATTGTCATAAATATATGGAGCCGCCCTTTAGTTTCCCACACTTTCTCTATGCTCTGATACACAAGTTTATGTGTGGAATATTTGAAAGGATGCAAGAAAGACTCCGAAAGCGTGCGAAATCAAATCCATCGGAAGCGCTCGTTAAATCCCTATCAGCGTCTCTTCGTAGCAGTTGAAGAGTGAACGGTTCATGCGTGAGTACAGATAGGGCGGCCTTTTTTTGTTTGAGCTAGACACGACATTTCTTCTTCGATAAATGTTCTAAAATTTATCAATTGTTCATATTTCTCTTTAATTTGATCCACCACCGAGTCACTTGTCCCACCAAGAAAATAATAGGCCAACCATATTACTGTCTAACCGTTAGATCTGTAGGAGAGTAATACACATGTGTAAATGAAGTGATCCTTACCAGTCATACCTCAAATATTCACATGTCTGTCTGAGGCGATGGTCTTAATTCAACCTTTGTTCATTCTGTTTATGAACTCTTCATTTAGGGATTTGTTTCTTTGAAATTCGTTCTTGTAGGAAAGTGAATATTTTGAACATTCATCATTCAAAGCAATATAGCCCAGCAATACGTATACACTTTCTTTATAATAATACACGGTAATGCTGTTTTGTCTTTCTTTACGTCATGATACACCTTCCCTTCGATAATGTTTTACATGTGTTCATATAAACATGTAATCATGCTAATTAATAGTCAACAATACAAGCCTAGTGGTTAAAGTGTTCACTCGTCACGCCGAAGACCTGGGTTCGATTCCCCACATGGGTACAATGTGTGGAACCTATTTCTGGTGTCCCCCGCCGTGATATTGCTGGAATATTGCTAA